CAATTATTTACACTATGAATAAAATTAGTATTTTTCAAAATTTATGAGCACACCATTATGTAAGATTATGATAAAATGAAATAGTACATATAAAAATAAAGGACATACATATTATATAAACAATATATAAACACACATATATAATATAATTCAATAAAAAACATATAATAAAATACGCTTTAATATAAAGTAAGTTTTAAAAAATATTCTTTACATGAAAATTCAATCAAACATATTAATGTTAATCAATCAAAGTATTCATTTGGTCTACAAATTTCCTCCCATTTTGACCTTGCACAATAGACTTTTCTGTCGCAAACATAACAAGTAAGCAGTACGAAACAGATCACAATCTTATCACATTAGTCGTATAAAATAAAAAGTTTAGAACACACATAAAAATCACAGGTCGGCTCGCTGACGAATTAACTTCACAAAAAGTCAGGGCTGAAACTGTTGCTGTAATGATATACTGTTCAATAAATGACACTTTTGAAGTAATGATACTGTTACAGTGACAATAACCTGTTCAATAAATGGAACTGTTTAAGTTATGAAACTGTCATATTCTTGATAATGTTTAAATAATTAAAGAGACATAGATCCATGTACTCACACGGGTAAGTGACTTGCAAGATGAACACACCCTTTAGGCTGCTGAAATGCCAACGCCACATTTCGTGACAACTCTGGCACCGGGTCTAATGGTTTTTATTCTCTTCCATGCGTAATCGTACCTCTTAACCGCGCTGGCTAGCGAAAATTTCTGTTTTTGTCCCACCAAGGTGTACCTTACGTAAACTTTACACCCATTTTGTAATACACAGTCAACTTGGGAAGTTGCCACGGACAGAAGACGGGTTTCCCATTGTGCAGTACCGAAACAATGACTGGAAAATCTGCTGTAGACCGTGTGCTTCTTTCCTTTTGCGCCTGACTGAACTGAAACCTCAAACAAAGCAAGACGATTGCCCCATGACCTGGGCTCTGGCAAGGTTCTTAACCTCCAGCCTGGCTTACCAGCTCGAGCCTTCCACTGAGTTTTGTTAGCCTCAGGTACATCGCTCTCAGATACACAAGCCAGGAACCAATTCTCCCAATTTAATGAGCGAAGTGAAAAATTGATCTCTGGGACGTTTTCACGTTTTAAGAGAGGCAGATTCTTCAGCTTGTATTTATCGAGGCATAATCTTGAGGACTTTTGTCCTTTTATTAAGAGTCTTGAATTTGCTTTAGGCTTTTTGGCGAGAGGCATACTCGGAACTTTGGCCCATTTTTTAGCAGTTCTAATTTTTTTTTTAGATTTTCGCTTAGTTGCTGCTAGATGAGTCGTTGTCAAAGTTCTTGCTGTGGAATCTGTGTGTGCTACCAGAAGAGGCAAGGGGCAAGCAGCCGACGAGGAATCTACTGCCTCTTCGTCTCTCAGGGAGGCAAAGATTGCATCTATATCAAGAGCTAAACCAGTGGGCCCACATCTGGCTCTGACTTCATTTTCGTAATTCGCTAACTTCGTCATGTCGTTACTCTCCCTGTAACAGATCGCCATCATCATATCAAATAAGCTTCCAAAATCGTTCAAACGTAAATGTTTGCCTTTAGTGGCCATTGATATTGTTTTATAGAAGCGATCTGCTTGAGCATAGTTTCCACACTGGACCCCGTATATTGTAACACCCTCGCTGCCAAGAGACCTCGTCTCCTCCTTCCAGTTGATCTTGTCTTTGTTACACGCCTCATGGGGCTCGTGGGGGTTGTTGTCCCCAATCAAAACGAGGACACGGCGTGATCCAGGAGTCCAAGACAATTCTGTCCTGACTTGTTTTAAAACGAGCTCATAGCATTCTGGGGCATCTCCTCCCCCGGTTTTCTCCACGTTCTGCACAAAGTCACAAAGCTTGGCAACATCTGTTGTTAAATCAATCCATTTGGTGACGTAAATATGAGAATCACAATAGTCCCCGTGGGCGAAGACAGCTATTCTGATGCCAGGAATGTCAGCTTGTAGACGTTGTATCAGGTCTTGAATGCGCCCACGAACTTCGTCTAACCAACTAGCCATTGAGCCCGTTGTGTCGAATGAAAACACAATTTCTAGCAGGCCGCCGGGAGGAAACGCAACGTTATGATTCGTCATTGTTGATTTATTATCGTTTAATATTTTTAATTGTAAATAAAGACAATTGTTTTTATTCTTCTGAAAGTCAGATGATTTTGCTTTACTGCTGTGTACGTTGATTGGAAAACTAACATGGACACTGTTAATATAGTTAAAACTTTCCGCGAAGCATAAAAAAATTATCCGCGAAGCTTGTATCAGCGAAGCAAGTAAACTATAACTTGATTTGATTATTTATAACTTTTGACTTCGCGGAAAGTCTTTTTTTTTTTCTTTTTTTTAGCCAGATTCCACAGTAGGTTGACCACGCCAGATGCCACCGTGAGTTGACCACGCCAGATTCCCCCGTGAGTTGACCACGCCTCGAAGCATAAAAAAATTATCCGCGAAGCTTGTATCAGCGAAGCAAGTAAACTATAACTTGATTTGATTATTTATAACTTTTGACTTCGCGGAAAGTCTTTTTTTTTTTCTTTTTTTTTTTTAAGGGCTAAGAAAATCTAAGATGTATTAATATATAGTTTTTTGTAATATTTTAAATGTTAAAAAAGAAATAGATGTCTAATAATAAAATACAACTTAATGAATGAACACCATGCTAAACTTTAGATTGACAAAACAAACATATGCTTCCTGTACTACTGACCCAAATAGGTTCATTCAAAATATTTAAAAATAGTATACTTACATCCTACTATCATTAGGGTGACCAAATCATGAACTGGAAAAAACGGGACACACCGAATGAGAGTTTGTGATGGGATACCCTCCAGCTAAAGAGGGTCCCGGGGGCCTCCGTCAGAATCTGTTTATTGAAACATGCTCATTTTAACTATTTTGAAAGCTAGAAATCGTTTTAAATTTACCTTCACGCAAAGATGAGAGACCGACTTTATGAACAATAACTCATCTTTGTTAAAAATCATTACCTGTTATGTCCCCTGGCCTATGCTTCGAAATAAATAAATAAATAAATAAATAAATAACCACAACTAAGACTCACTAAAACTTCAAGAGAAATGTGACCAATGTTCCCTCTAAGATTTGTTGGTTCGTGTGCAATATCATAAAGTTGTGTGCACATTTTTACAGCATCAATTTTTTTGTGCGCAAAATTTTCAGCCTACAGACACTTACATGGAAATTAGCTGCGTGGTACTCAAACTGCTGCGCGGCGTCTGTTAGATTGCTGCGCGGCCACGCAGCTTAAAGGGAACATTGAATGTGACCCTACATTCCTTCCTCTCCATCTTCATAGTTTGTGATATGTAAGATGCATTACAAATTACAGTGATAATTTTACTGCTTAAACTACACACAGCATTACCACGGAACTTTAGATACCGATTTAACTATGGCACCCGGGTACCAGAAGTGAGAGGTCGGGATTAAAAAAAACTATTTAAAATATTATTCCTGGGTTTGTAAGACAAAATGTGGTATCAAATGAAAGAAAATTATTGAAGGGACTATATGTTTGTAAACTTACTTCTTCCGTTTAACTAAAATAAAATACCACAAATGACATCCGAATGGGATTTTGTCTAAAGGGACCCGGGTACGCATAGCTGCTATTCGGACCCGGATCCCTTTAGACTAGGGTAACCATACGTCCCGTAACGATCGTACCCTGTGTCCCAAAAAGGTATCTCGGGACGCCTAAATGTCCCATTTCTAAAACCAAACACATTTTCAGATCACATAACTTCCTAATTTATAACATAAAGTCAAGTAATATTTTTCGCTAGTCATGTAGCCAGTGCCAGTACTGGCTGATGTGGGCTAGCTGTGTAGCCAGTGCCAGTGCTGATGTGGGCTCGCGTGATGGCTGCACTGTTCCCCTTCCACCACTCTGCCGACGCCGCGTAAACCCAAGTGTCCCTGCCACAGATGTTATTGTGTTGTAAAATATGTATCAATAAATAAGTATTCACTGCAAAATTATTGTTTTCGTTTTTGATACGCCTCAGAGTTTAAATTAAATTACAAAAGTGAAGGTAAATTTAAAACGATTTCTAGGTCTCAAACTAGTTCAAATGAGCATCTTTCAATAAACAGTTTCTGGCGGAGGCCCCAGGACCCCTTTTTAGCTGGAGGGTATTTCCTCCCCTCACCCCCCCCCCCTCAACCCTCCTTGGGAATGTCCCGTTTTTTCCTGTTCATGATTTGTTCACCCTATATAGACTAAATCCCATTCAGATGTCATTTGTGGTAGTTAATTTTAGTTAAACTGAAGACGTAAGTTTACAAACATATAGTGCGATACATGTGAGCTATCTGTACGCACAACTAGATGCAACTGACCAATGCTTACTTTACGGGGCAAAATGTGTTGTTTCCTATATTCACCATTAAAATCAACGAAATTACAAGTCAGCCATAATAATATGTCGACGAAATTATTCTTTATTTTATTTATTCATATTCTATACCCAAAAGGTCACAAATAAAGTGGTACGTAAATGAATTTTAAACATTTTAGCTTGGGTTTGGGGGGGGGGGGCGAAATTCATCGCCTAATTCCATTGTCTATTCTGCCATTGACTTAAAGACGAATTGATTTAGCGACGCTCCTGCTTGCTTGGCGCCATTTTCTGTTTACTGCCCAACCAGGGAATGACCACACCAGACGACCATTATCACGCCATTAGCACGTACTCGTCCAACGCCTAATATTGACGTCTCAGCAACAAAACCAACACCATATGCAGTGCCCCCCTCAACACAAACAGCACAACATATAGAGCCCCCTTCAACACAAACAACACTATACACACAGCACCCCCTCGATGCCGAGACAGACGGACAAATAAAGCGACAACTACGTTGTTAAGTATCGACCCCGACAAAGCTTTAAGTGATGACCCTCCAACATGCGTCTACTAGTTCTCTTGCGAGTTCTGTGTCACCTCAGGCCTGGTGGGGCATGCGTATAAACCAGCTATTGTGTATTGCAAACTCCAGGTGAAAATGCTCCCCGTTTAGTACATATAGGCTTCTTCGTGCGAACACTGGTCAGACGCGAGAGTAGACCCGAAGCACAACACACAAGCATTAGGAGCTTGGGTTAATATTCTGAAACAATTCTAAAACTCAAAACAGCAGAAATCTTAAAGATTTCATCTCAAAGAACGACTTCAAACGATTAGAAAAGTTCATCACAATGCATCATATACGGAGCATTTTTCTTGTCGCCGTGTTGGTCAGTGTCGTCTCCGGCCAACGGTCGTTGTATCAGGGAGGCAATGATGAAACGCGCAAGGTGCCCCTCCAGCAGCCGCAACAGCACAGACCGGCGCCGAAGCCTCACACCTTCCCAGACCCCCCAACACAGAAGCCACAGAGACCTCAGCAGAATTTTCTAGAAGACAATTATGGAGCTGAGGCTGGGTGTAAGGACCCGTGGACCACAGAGTGGACAAGAGATCCTAATGATTGCACACAGGTGAGTGTCAACTTTAACAACCGTTGAGGCCTGGGCATTCTGCTCAAAGTCCTCATAGTTATTTATAGAAATAGTTGATAATGCTAAGGTGCAATTCTTGGTTGGATTGAATGAATATTTTGCAATATAATTGGATTTCTTTTAAAGCGGCTATTATTCATACCAAGAAAATACATTAGGTTTTTTATCATTGTAATTAGTGTTTGGATTATTAAAATTTGAGATGCATGATTCCTTTATAATTTTGTTGTTGTTGTACAATCAGGGTTTCGACTCCAGCACCTTCACTTCTATATTAATAAGTCAAAAATAAATATTTTTATTTATTTATTTATTTAGGCATTTTTATATAACGCTTACCTTCATTAAAAACAAGTAAAATAAAAATGAAAAAAACCAGAGACACTAGGATAGTAACTACTATACTATAGAAACTATTGAAATGGCTATAAAACGAGCACACTTTGGCACTAATATTAAGCCCACTACTTGAAAATTATGATCATGTGATATTATTCTAACTAATATTAGTTAAGAAAATAAATAACACATCTTAACAACAAACAATATAGATACTAAATAGTATAATTTCTATATAATTCAATTTTAGATAGTTTTGTGTGCCAGTAAATCAATCCACCACCTCAAGACACATAGATTATTATATTAACGATACCAAATATTGACTTGAGGAATTTGAAAGTCCAATGGTATAAAAGAAACGATTTATTTACTCCTCCGCCTTAATTTAGGTCCATTTCTGTATACAAGGCAAGAAGCAGTGGACCATCAACTGTAACGACACGAGAATCTGGTCCAATGTTGGTCACGCTTGCGTGGAGCCAATGTCTCAGTGGGATGACTGTAATCAGGTCATGACGACTCCAACTCTCAGTAGGTTTAATTCTTAACTTGCAAAGAATTGGGAGAAGGATTGTATTTAAATGACCACAGAGTATAATTAAGAAATTTCAATGTCTTTCTGCTAGTTCCCAGGAACGGAAGCATTTAGTTAATTATTTTGCGTGTAAAAAAAAAAATTAGGTCAACCGATGAACTCCTATTAACTCAGCAACCAGACCTTACGCAAAAAAACCAACCAAAAAAACAAGTAATTTTGGAAATAAGACAGTAAATATATTAGATGGACTATTTAATTGAATGTAGAGACAATTATTACAGTAATGGGATGCCCAGTAAGTAAAGGTGGTTTGCGAATGTGTCCACACATCAAACAAGTCAGAAGGACCAACCGCCATGAAGTCTTGCCCAAAATCCCTCAGAGATGGACTAACTAAATCACGTGTCAAACATGGGCCCTGCAGTGGATGACTCCTGGAAATACTGTCACCTATGGATCAAATAAACGTGTGCCTGTGTTCACGGCCGGTCAGAGCAGAGCTCATTAAGGTCGCGTGATGACGTCCATCCCATGTCATATCAGTTCACTTCAATATTGCCATCGTCAACATCAAGAGACACCTTTTTTTTTTTTAGCAGATACGGTTTAGTTTTCAAATTGAGAGCAGGCGCCAATTACATTGAGATCTAGATACACATACGTTTTAGATTTCTAAATATTTGTTTCTTGCATTGTCTTGTATGCTAAGGAAGACGTTAACTCGAAACGTTCTTTTTAATGTTTGTCCTGTCTTTTCTTTTCAAGCCTAAATGTATCTTGTTCCACTAAAATCTCTTTAACTTGGGAAAAAATTGAGGGTAAAAAAAAAAACGGTGTTTTTTTACGGAGGAAAAAATAGAATAAAAAATAATTATAATTCCGTTTATAATATAATAACTTATCTATTTTAAAAATAAATTTAATATAAAGTAAAAAAAAAAACACCATGAAAAGACACGTTATTGTGGTATAAGAAGGGAATCTTTTTTTTTAAAACAAATTATTTTACATGTTTAACATAGTCACTACAAATATGTATGCCTCCTTCTGGAAATCGTCACCAAATAATAAAAAAGTCAATGAGTTTAGTTAATATTTGAAGTCTGACAATGTTCAGAAACCGGCATTATTTGTTGTGCACTTTTTACCAATCCTTAAATTAAAATCATCGTTCATTAATTTGTTACAAACCACGCACACAAAACCAGTTTATCTTTATCGTCACTGTCTTACGTTTTACCCAGATGACCCCCGTTGTCTCAATGACCCCAGCGGTATGAACCCCGACCCCGACAACTGTGCCCAGTTCCTGGCCTGCGTCAATATGACTGTGGTGGCCACCATGGAATGTCCCACCAACACCCTCTTCTCGACCAGGAACAACACGTGCGAGCTCAGCTTCATGGTCGCCTCTGAATGTCGGGAGAGAAGCATTCCTGGTCACGTCATTATTAGTAAGTTTTTGTATTCCCTATGTCAACGCTTTCCCCGTCTCTGGGACAGGGGCCTGAAACGATCGGCCCGTGGATATAGTGCAACCATCCGGAACAGGTTTCCCAAATGAAAAACTAAGATTTACGGAATAATATTCTAAACATGCACTTTTTTTTATTTACGGACATTCACTGTTTTTTACGGACATTCACTATTATTTACGGGCATTCACTATTATTTACGGGCATTCACTATTATTTACGGGCATTCACTATTATTTACGGGCATTCACTATTATTTACGGGCACTCACTATTATTTACGGGCATTCACTATTATTTACGGGCATACTCTATTATTTACGGGCATTCACTATTATTTACGGGCATTCACTATTATTTACGGGCACTAACTATTATTTACAGTCACTAACTATTATTTACGGGCATTCACTATTATTTACGGGCATTCTCTATTATTTACGGGCATTCACTATTATTTACGGGCATTCACTATTATTTACGGGCATTCACTATTATTTACGTACATGCACTATTATTTACGGACATGCACTATTATTTACGGACATGCACTATTATTTACGGGCATTCACTATTATTTACGGACATTCACTATTATTTACGGGCATTCACTATTATTTACGGGCATTCACTATTATTTACGGGCATTCACTATTATTTACGGGCATTCACTATTATTTACGGGCATTCACTATTATTTACGGGCATTCACTATTATTTACGGGCATTAACTATTATTTACGGGCATTAACTATTATTTACGGGCACTCACTATTATTTACGGACATTCACTATTATTTACGGGCACTCACTATTATTTACGGGCATTCACTATTATTTACGGGCATTCACTATTATTTACGGGCATTCACTATTATTTACGGGCATTCACTATTATTTACGGGCATTCACTATTATTTACGGACATTCACTATTATTTACGGACATTCACTATTATTTACGGGCATTCACTATTATTTACGGACATTCACTATTATTTACGGACATTCACTATTATTTACGGACATTCACTATTATTTACGGACATTCACTATTATTTACGGGCATTCACTATTATTTACGGGCATTCACTATTATTTACGGACATTCACTATTATTTACGGACATTCACTATTATTTACGGACATGCACTATTATTTACGGACATTCACTATTATTTACGGACATTCACTATTATTTACGGACATTCACTATTATTTACGGACATGCACTATTATTTACGGACATGCACTATTATTTACGGACATTCACTATTATTTACGTACATGCACTATTATTTACGGACATGCACTATTATTTACGGACATGCACTATTATTTACGGACATTCACTATTATTTACGGACATTCACTATTATTTACGGACATGCACTATTATTTACGGACATGCACTATTATTTACGGACATTCACTATTATTTACGGGCATTCACTATTATTTACGGACATTCACTATTATTTACGGACATTCACTATTATTTACGGACATTCACTATTATTTACGGGCATTCACTATTATTTACGGACATTCACTATTATTTACGGACATTCACTATTATTTACGGACATTCACTATTATTTACGGACATTCACTATTATTTACGGACATTCACTATTATTTACGGACATTCACTATTATTTACGGACATTCTCTATTATTTACGGACACATTTTAAATATACTTCCGGAGCTATCAACAAAATTTAAACAAATCAGATAACCGCGAACCCGTATTTTTATGATTATGTCTCTATTACTCATGAATGAGTTTAATTTATAACGTCATATTTATTGTGCATGATTTTTATCAGTATCAGTTTTGAATTGATGACCATACAAAAGTAAGAAAAAACATCACAAAGGTGGATATGACATGTTCAATGTCTCAATTTTGTGTACGAGCACCCTTTAAGTCCTTACGATCAAGTCATTTTAGATCAACTTTTTAAGAATCGCCGGAACGTTAAGGACAGTTGGCAATCCTGCCTCCAAGGTTTAGAGCACTGTTCTTATGCAACATGGCTTGGAGTTAGACCGTATAATAGGGAGCCACTTTTAATGTTAAAGTATGTCTGTGCAGCCCGTTGGACTAAAGCCACACTTAATGTTTAAGTATGTCTGTGCAGCCCGTTGGACTAAAGCCACTTTTAAAGTTAAAGTATGTCTGTGCCGTCCGTTGGACTAAAGCCACTTTTACTGTTAAAGTATGTCTGTGCCGTCCGTTGGACTAAAGCCACTTTTACTGTTAAAGTATGTCTGTGCAGTCCGTTGGACTAAAGCCACACTTAATGTTTAAGTATGTCTGTGCAGCCCGTTGGACTAAAGCCACTTTTAAAGTTAAAGTATGTCTGTGCCGTCCGTTGGACTAAAGCCACTTTTACTGTTAAAGTATGTCTGTGCCGTCCGTTGGACTAAAGCCCTACTTAATTTTGAAATTTGTCTATGCAACCCGTTGTACTAAAGCCAGGTTTATTGTAAAATTATATCTGTACAGCCCGTTGTACTAAAGCCCTACTTAATGTTTAAGTATGTCTGTGCGGTCCGTTGGACTAAAACCCTACTTAATTTTGAAATATGTCTGTACAGCCCGTTGTACTAAATCCAGGTTTAATGTAAAAGTATGTCTGTGCAGCCCATTGTAATAAAGCCAGGTTTAAGGTAAAAGTACGTCTGTACAGCCCGTTGTACTAAAGCCCTACTTAATGTAAAAGTATGTCTGTGCAGACCGTTTGAGTAAAGCCACACTTAATGTTTAAGTATGTCTGTGCTGCCTGTTAGATCACCGAATTATCCCCAAGCACCACTTTGGCTTATATGAGTTTGATCCCCTATTTCAGGCCAGCCATTGACTAATACCTTTATCCGAAATGCATGGAGAGGCTTGCATTCCAAATCAATTGAGATTCATTTATTTAGGGCTTTGTTTAATATCACGTGAAAAAATACATTAAAAGGAAAAAGAATGCACTGTTGTTCATGACGCTGACACATATTTTTGTACAGCTTAAAAGTTGCACATTTGACATTTCCAGTTATTATTATCATTTTAAAAAAAAAATTATTTCGATTCAAATCTTTCCAAACAATCCGATAAAACCACGACTTTATAATTATATAAACTCTTGATTGAAAGGCTAAATTGTTGACATTCTAATAAATCTTGTCATAGCTATGAAAAAACAAACAAAAAAAAACAACAACAAACAAACAAGCAATGTAACTTTACATTATCTTTACAGCCACCGCCAGCCCCATTGTTGACAAACCTTGTGAAGTAACTTTACATTATCTTTACATTATCTTTACATTATCTTTACAGCCACCGCCAGCCCCATTGTTGACAAACCTTGTGAAGTAACTTTACATTATCTTTACATTATCTTTACAGCCACGGCCAGCCCCATTGTTGACAAACCTTGTGAAGTAACTTTACATTATCTTTACATTATCTTTACAGCCACCGCCAGCCCCATTGTTGACAAACCATGTGAAGGAACATCGAATGGCGATGTCGGTGACCCGACCCACTGCGCCAGATTCTACAAGTGTAACTACGGCAGAGTTGTCGCACGCATCCGTTGTCCCAGCAACAGCGCGTTCAACGAGGAAAAGAAGAAATGTGATTGGCGCGCAAACGTCGACTGTGGCGCCAGACCGATCTTTTGATGTGGCTCAGTTCTGTTTGACATAATGTGTTCCTGGCTGATGCGCCCAGTGTTCATCTCTGTAGTAAACCTGTGGTCTTGGAAGTTGATGGCCTGCTAAGCACTAATCGGCCATTTCTTTCCGTGTTAATTAACATTGTACATTTCATGAAGTAAAAAAAAAAAATATTAAAAAATCTCAACATTTGACAGAGAAATTCATGGGAATAAAAGACACAAACATAGTTTATACGAACTGCTGCAGGAATTATATACAATGTATAGAAAATTAAAATAATATAAAAATAGCAACAACAAAAAAAAAAGATAAAATTATATTTTATTCTTCTTATTTTTATGTAGACGACTTGGCTGGCAGGCGGTTTATGCTAATTATAATGTGTACCAATCATACCCTTACAACCATTGGATTGTATACGTTAGTCTAATACAACAGCATCATATCATTGTAGATTAATAACAAGACTTTTCATTTCTGGGGAAAAAATTGACATTAGAGCAGTGCCGTATCAACGCTACAATTCATTTTCTTAGATTTTAAAATATCGATAATTGTTTTAAAAAGAGATATTTCAACGTGGACTTTGAACATAATACAATTAAATTTTGCATTTATCTGAGAAAGAAATGAAAATATAGGAACATGTCTTGCCTGTTTGATCATTTTTACCGCACAAAAAGGCCTCAAGGACGCATCTGACGTGATTCAAGCAATCACTGAGGCTGTTAGGCCGGGGCTTAGTTTGTTCAGTGCTAACCATTTCCAACGTGGTACTTAAGTTTGTTGATACAGGACAGACGAGTGTGGTATAAGAATGAGGTTGGTAGGTGGTGACTTGATTTATGCACTTTCTAACAACGCTGATATGTACAGACAAAGATGTAATTTTATTAATAAAATTACAACAACAAAAAATAAATAATTTCTATTTACTGATCAGTACACATGTTATGTTTCTATACTCCCATATTTTGACAACATTGTTGACTTTCTGAACATTTTACAAGCCAATAAATTTACAACGGATACAATTTTTTGAACAATGTCTTGTTTAACATTATTTGAAACAAATAAAAATTATTTAAAAAAAAAGAAAGAAATAACGTCAGTTTCCTTATAACATCCCGTGCTTCTATTCAGCACGAAGGAGATCTTACATGTATCAAACACCACTGCCGTACAGGTTTGGTGTCAGGTTGTGGGCAGTTACATTCCTGACCTCTTCACTTGCTCTATGTATAAATGTCGTATAAACTCGACTCTATGTTTAAATGTTGTACAAACTAGACTCTATGTATAAATGTCGTACAAACTAGACTATATGCATAAATGTCGTATAAACTCGACTCTAAGTATAAATGTCGTACAATCTAGACTCTGTGTATAAATATCGTACAAACTAGACTCTATGTATAATGTCGTACAAACTAGACTCTGTGCATAAATTTCGTACAAACTAGACTCTATGTATAAATGTTGTCAAACTCGACTCTATGTATAAATGTCGTACAAACTAGACTCTTTGTGTTACATGTCCGAACCTCGTGACTCCCTGAGAAGGCTAATAATTTTCATTGGGAAAAAAATCACAAAATTATGGAATTCTTTTATATTTTATTGAATTCCAAATACCGCGAGAAGAGGAGAAATGTCAGACTCCGAGTTTTAACGTGTTCTGCTTTCATTTAACTCCCTTAATATCCATGTCACCCATATATGGCTCGCATATCATCGCTGTCAACTATTTTACTCCACAAAGTACGTCACGCTATTTACCCCCTCCTCCTTTTCGGTCACAATCTGTCACAAATCTCAGACCCTCCAGTGGTGTAGGAGGGGGAAGAAGAGAGAGCGGTCTGGCCCAGGCAACAATTTTTCCCTTATATTGAAGGGATGTATTTTCGACGAGTTGCAGAGTTTTTATCTTGAAAGCGGATGAAACCCTAACAACCCCCCCCCCCCTAAAATCTACACATTTAAAAAAAAAATTAGAAACTAATAAAAATACAGTCTGAAACACACTTCTCTCTTATAAATTTAAACTACAAAGTGACATCTTCTGTCAGAATACATCCATCACAAGAGAAAGTTAAACATCACTGTCAATTTCATGTTTTATATGTAAGATAAAAGAAAATATTTATATCTGTATATAGATATATTATTATGTATATATATATGACGTCACTTATGCTCCAGCATCCCAAACCCAATTTCTACTGTCACACTTTCTGAGATCCCCTGCCCCCCTCCCCCCTCGCCCGAGCGTGACTTACTTTAAGGGCGGCCTCTTGCTTTGTTTATTCCGTATCTGACTCCACTACCAACCCTTTCACGTAATGGGTCACTACCAACCCTTTCACGTAATGGGTCTCCGATCCATACCAGTCAGCCAAGCGTTAACGAGACTTTCGGCCGAAACCGAAGCCGAAACTGAAATATTTAGATATTTTATAATTAGATACGCATACTTCATGCATACATTAAAAAACGATGAGGTTAAGTATCAATGTTTACAATATTTTTATAAACAATGATATCATCGTGAATATTAATAAATAAACATCTAATGCAGGAGTCTCAAACTCGCGGCCTGCGAGGGCCCTTCGCTTTTATAATATAATTATAACCTAGAACATATACCTACAATAATTATTGTGGCTCTAAAAGAGCAAATTGTCACCAAAATATAAGTTATTAAGGCTATAAAAATATCAGCCCAATGTTTCGCGGTTATCGTCATACTAATGCTTTGTGTTTTCATAAGTAGCTGGCAAGATATCACTTTATTAATATTTAGCATAGTATCAACACACTAGTCTTTCCGTGCTGGTGACGTAATTATTTTGTTCGGCGACCAACCTCCCTCACCTCCATTGGTGGGGAGAATTTTTGTTAACCTACCACATGATTGTGCCATCAATAAACCTACCACATTATTGTGCCGTTAATCAACCTACCACATGATTGTGTCGTCAATAAACTTACCACATGATTGTGCCGTCAATAAACCTACCACATGATTGTGCCGTCAATAAACCTACCTCATGATTGTGCCGTTAATAAACCTACCTCATGATTGTGCCGTCAATAAACCTACCCCATGATTGTGCCGTCAATAAACCTACCCCATGATTGTGCCGTCAATAAACCTACCCCATGATTGTGCCCTCAATAAACCTACCCCATGATTGTGCCGTCAATAAACTTACCACATGATTGTGCCGTCAATAAACTTACCACATGATTGTGCCGTCAATAAACCTACCCCATGATTGTGCCGTCAATAAACCTACCTCATGATTGTGCCGTCAATAAACCTACCCCATGATTGTGCCGTCAATAAACCTACCCCATGATTGCGCACATCATTGAGCACTATACTCTCGCTGCCCACTCGGATACTACATGTCAGCTGGGTCTTTTGTCAAATTTTTGTTTGGGGTCTGTTAAAATTGTTGTTCTGACGGGTCTCGAAGGAGAATCGCAAAAGACATCTAAATTGGTCGCCAAAATCATAACAGTAAACTGGTCTGTAGCAGGCCTACAACATAATTAGAATACGAACCCGGGATACATGCACACGCAATAATAACGTGTATGAGCATGATAAGGAGGAATTTCAAGAAATGTATGGTTTGAAAAAAGCCTAATTTTCCTTAATTTTGTAATATAAAAAAATAAATAATAGCAATAATAATGATGGAAATAAGTATTATTTTCCCCTAGGATTATGCAATATGATTCAAATTTGCTTATGACAACATTGGTGAGCATAATGATAATGATAGATCAAAATGAATATCACAAATGAAGGAATAGCATAAACCTAGGGTTCACAATTTTAGTTTTGGAAATATTAAAACAAAAAACAATGATATAAATATGACCATTCCATTAGTTTTTCATCCACAAAACTGTTTACATTTGCTTATGCCTGATTGAAATTTAATTTTGGGAAATAAAAGACTAGTAGGTCATCATGCAGCTGTGGGCTGTTTTGGGAGAGTATTAGCCATATAACGTACGATGACAGCAAGACGTCGAGCAATAATAAATATCGAATTGTCGGCGTAGAGACAGACATTACAGTCTGACTCCTGGAAGATGACCGAAAACCTCAGTGACTTTTCGCCATCTGGCCGAAAGACTCAATCACTTTCGACCAAAACCGAAATTAAACCGAAAGTTATCTTTTCAGTTTCAGCCGAAACCGAAACTAGGCAACTTTCGGCGCCGAACCGAAGCCGAAGCTAAAGTTCGGTCGGTCTCTAGTCTCAACTAATATTGATCTTATGATGATCTAAAGTTGATAGCTTCTCGGATTTTTCTCTAACTCTTCACAGAATGAGATAAATTATTTTATTTTATTATTTTGTTCAGTTGTTTTTTCATTCATGAAGGTTTTTTTTCCCCCAACCTGACCTTTATTTCTTTTCGTCTTTGTCCAGATTTTCCCCACCATCCTGTTGTGTTTATTAAGGTCCTTATCTAAAGATGTCCGCAGAGTTCAAGATTGATTTAAAAATACTCATGATCACGTGTCACATACATCACTTGGCTTTTGTTTTCCAGCTCTTGTGTTGTTTTAAATAATAAATATTTCTTCATCTGATTTTTTAGTCCTATTAAAAAAAAGCGCGAGGCCGTGTTAATAAGTTTTTAAAATTACGACAGGATACATTAGACATTTTTTTTTATTGCAGTGACATGTTATATATGAAGGCTTATGCAAACTCTGAAATGTATAAACCTGCCTCACAATTCTCTCTGTTTATATACGCCTGTCTCTCCCTGTCTCTCTCCCTCTCTCTCTCTCTCTCTCTCTCTCTCTCTCTCTCTCTCTCTCTCTCTCTCTCTCTCTTTTTCTCTCTATCTCCCTATCTCTATATTTACGCACAAATTCTCTCTCTTTTTACATTTGTTTTCACAATTCTCTCTGTTTATATATGCCTGTCTCTCCCTCTCTCTCTCCCTCTCTCTCTCTCTCTCTCTCTCTCTCTCTCTCTCTCTCTCTCTCTCTCTCTCTCTCTCTCTTGTTCTCTCTATCTCCCTATCTCTACATATAGGCACAAATTCTCCCTGTTAATAGACTTGTTTAAATTCGTGATGTAAGATGTTTGCAGTTTGGGCATGGTTATTCCGAATTATTTCTTAGTTCCTGGTTTATGTAAACACATTTATATTACGTGACTTACTCGTCAGTCCGTTTAGGTCCTACAACTTCAGGTGTTTAAATTTTAGATTACAACATGCTCAATCAGGTCAGTTAAGTGATCACAGATAACTAGTGTTTTATAAGCATTAAATACGCCTACCACATGATTGTGCCGTCAATAAACCTACCACATGATTGAGCGTCAATAAACCTACCACATAACTTTGCCGTCAATAAACTTACCACATGATTGTGCCGTCAATAAACTTACCACATGATTGTGCCGTTAATAAACTTCCACTGCCGTCAATAAACCTACCACATGATTGTGCCGTCAATAAACCTACCACATGATTGTGCCGTCAATAAACTTCCACTGCCGTCAATAAACCTACCACATGATTGTGCCGTCAATAAACCTACCCCATGATTGTGCCGTCAATAAACCTACCCCATGATTGTGCCTTCAATAAACTTCCACTGCCGTCAATAAACCTACCACATGATTGTGCCGTCAATAAACTTACCACATGATTGTGCCGTCAATAAACTTCCACTGCCGTCAATAAACCTACCACATGATTGTGCCGTCAATAAACCTACCCCATGATTGTGCCGTCAATAAACTTCCACTGCCGTCAATAAACCTACCACATGATTGTGCCGTCAATAAACTTACCACATGATTGTGCCGTCAATAAACTTACCACATGATTGTGCCGTCAATAAACCTACCTCATGATTGTGCCGTCAATAAACCTACCACATGATTGTGCCGTCAATAAACCTACCACATGATTGCACACATCATTGAGCACTATACTCTCGCTGCCCTCTCGGATACTAAATGTCAGCTAGGACTTTTTTTTATTTAATTCAATTTTTACTGTTGTTTGTTTGCTGATGGAGGCTTCTTTCCGACACG